CACGATATAGTAACGCAAAACAAGATTTATTAAATAACTGAATAATATCTATAGTATATAGTACACTATCGCCTGAGTAACCCTGTTCTTGAGGGTAGTATATTGAARATCACAGGAATAGCGGAGCACGAGCTGAACAATTATTAAATGATTTTTACAAGGTAGGCTTCAATGTGTGTTTGGACACGACCGCGGTTTAGACTCGACTGTCTGGCTATATTTTATAATATACATATATGCTAGTACTCTACGTTYCTGTGTTCTGTTAACCTAAGCTAAATCGGGGAGCGCGACATAAATGACGAGTCAGTAATCTGTAAATCGTTACATTGGTATTCACGAATGAAAATTACTACGCCATAACACCTCACGGAAATACCGAACTCGGAACACAATTGAACCGAACGAGTCGGTCGCGTGATACATATTAATATTATTTTGACAGTTTTGTGCGTTTTGTGCGTTTTTCAGGGCACCTAGCTGTCTGAGTCCGGACAACGTGACCGGAATGCTGTGGCACGTGGCGTGCGTCAATAGTCCTGTGTACGCCCGAGACAACCGGAAGAACTTCTCGATGGCCATCGGCGTCATACTCATACTGTGCGTTTCCGGACTGATGGCCATATTCGTGGCCGTCCACGAAAACATGAAAACCCGGCAGATGATGCGCAGGCGGCGGCAGTTGGACGAGTACGGCAACCCCGACCGGTCAGGTAGTGGCGTGGGGACGGCGGGCCCAGATGAGTACTTCGACGAGTACGCGGCCGCGGCAGAATCGGCGCGCAAGATGTCGCAACTRCCTTCTTACGATGAAGCGGTCATGTTGCCCAAACCGCCCCCCGAACCACGCCGGAGCAAGCGGCACAGCTGCACGCAGACGGACGATGCTATAGTGTCAAACGTGGCGACTGCTGACGCCTCACCGGCCGCGGGTGGCGGCTACGGTGGCGTCTACTGGCTACTTCCGCCGCCATCCGGGTTACACGTCACCGAGCTTTAACTCGTCTTGGTCAATTTTTCCCTTATCCTTTCACCCACCCACCAACCCATAAAAAACCTCCCAAAACATCTACCTCCCGTTTCCCCTTCTCCTACAACACATACACCATACAATATCGAGACTTTGATCAATCGTGTTGCGTTTTGTAAATTAACACATTACAAATTATGGTACAATATTAAAAT